TCCACCAATCTTTGATAAGTCATGAATAGATAAATATGATGTTATGCTTGTTTAAATTGTTGGTGTGTTGTGTTGTATTGCCTTGTTAGTTGTTATTTTGTCATATGTTGAAGTTGAAGTTGACTATTTATCTTGATATTTTAATTATTTGATGTTTTGTTTATATTATTTTATAGATATATAATTTTTAAATTTAATTATGACGTTACCGGTTCGACCATTGGTCCAACCCGGTTGGACCATGCGAACCACGGACCGCTGTCCTCTCCGGTTCAATATCCGGTCCGGTTTTAAAAACATTGAATCAGAGGGAGTGTTTAAAGAGAAAAGCCCCCTTTGAACGAAAAAAAGTCTGAACATTACTCCTTCCAAAAATATATTTAATATTTTTTAAAAATATATTTTATTAGGGGATTATTAATAATGTTGTCAATTAATTAATATGTGACCTGCTAAATAAAAATAAATATAAAATAAATTTTTAAATATTATTAACTAGCTTATGAAATGTAAATCAGTTAACCTTCTAATTTTTAACAGAGTTGTACACAACAGTATATGTATCTTCTTTTTTCGTGGACTAACTTTAATGGTGAAGGTGAGGGTGAAAATTAAAGCTTTCAATGGTAATCAGAGTGACAATCAATCATGCGACGGTTGCTGGGATCTTAAATATCAAAATCCAAATATTATACTCAATTAGTTAATTTTCAGTCACATTATTAACTTTTTTATTATACTTCTTTTATCTTAAATTATTGAACACTTTTAAATTTTTTTATTTTAAAATATAAAATACTTTAAATAAATTAAAATTTTATTAAATGCATCAATTTTAATATTATTCTTTCTCTCTTTATAATTAATTTTCATCCCTTCTCTTTTCAATATATTAAATGATGGGTATTTATTAAAAATTTATATTTTTATTTTGAAAAGATAAGATTGTTAAATGTATTTAATAAGGTTTATTGATATATAAAATTTTATCTAAAAGTGTTTTATAATTTAAAATGAAGAGAGTACTTTTTTTTAATACTCCCTTAAATGTTAAAGAGTGAGAGATGTTAAATATATGCATGGGAACAAAACCAAGATCTTATTAAATTTTTATACATAATTAATTAATTTTAAATTTTTTATTGAGGTAAAATATGTTATAATTAATTTATAAATAAAACCAGAGAAATAATAAATAGAGGGAGCATATTTCAAGAAGAAGGTAGAGGGAGACGCAGATTATGATTTGTGTGTAATGGAAAGGAAATTTGAAAACTACCACCTTTCTCTAGTTTGGAATGAAGGAATAAATTGGAAAGGAATGTATAAAATACTTGAAAGACTACGATACCCTCAAATGTGATCCTATTAAATAAAAAATAAAAAACTTTGTATAATCCAATTAAAACTGATCCTACGTTTTGCGAGCTCATGCCCGTTGGGAAAAAATTAATGATTGTAGATAGTGAAGAAGTAGAATAATAAGTTAAGCTTCAAAAAATCACGTGTCAATGTAACTATCTGTATGATCAATAAACTGATCCAAGAGATGAGATCTGAAAATCTGGACAGTCAAGATTTAAAACATTATTTTATATTAATTTATTAAAATAAAAATTTATAAAAATTATAAAATAATTTTAATTTAGAAAATTTAATTTAATATTTAAATTTTTATAATTGATATATATTGATTATCTATATGTACTTTACATAGTTCAGATATAATATTTGAACTGTATAGAGTACATCTGAAAAATTTAAAATATTAAATTATAAAAATTTTAATATTAAATTAGAACTTCTAAATTAAATCTAGATTAAATTAAAAATAAAAAAGTTATTAAAATTATTTTATGAGATGAGTAGGGAAATCATTCCTGATCCATTTGACATACTCTCTCCCTGTTTTTTTTAAATAAAAAATAATAATGTCATTAAAAAAACTAGAATTTACAATTCATGAGTAGTAAAATAATCTAAAGGATGTTGGTAAAAAAAAAATACTAATCTAAAGGACAAAGAGGTAAGAAAAGAGAAAGATCATATTTCTCCTTCTGATAAAAGATAAGATAAAATTTAAATTTTTTTTTGGTCCTAAATATGAGATAAAATTAAAATATTCAATATGAAATTTATTAATTTCTTTTTATATTAAAAATTGAATGGAATATTGTGATTGGTTGAGATGGAGATTAAAATATAAAATATAATATAGGGCAATATTAAATTTTTTTATTATATATATTATTTTATATAATTATAGTTAGAGTGGTTATAACTATTTTATTTTTTGTTATTATTTTATTCTTTGATAGATCTTTATTTTATTCTCTAATAAATCTTTTTTCTTTGTATAAATATATCTCATATTGAAATTAATAAGATAAGTCACTAGTTTTACAAATTGTATTATGGTACCAGAGCCAGTGAAATTTCTTTTTTATTGTTTTCCCTCTCTGCTTTATTTGGTGCTTCTGGAACCTTATGGAACTTGATCCCATCATTCTGCCTTCCACCATTATGACTACTCTGGATGCTTTTGTGCCTACTAATAGAAATGCTTAGTCTTCATCTTCTTCTTCTTCTTCTGCCTCTTTGCCATTCACTCAAGGTCAATACAATAAGCTTCTTGCTTTAGTGCAAGCCCCTACACCTGCTATTTCGTTAACTCCTTTGGCATAAGTTAATCCTGTGACTTCCTCTCCTTCTTTTAATGCATCTTTAATATCAGGTATATCTCACATACTTTCCTTTAAATGTCTTTCATTTGCTTGGTTCATTGATAGTGGCGCAATCGATCATATATATTCTTATATTGATTGTTTCTCTGAGTTAGTTTCTATTTATCCCATTTTTTTTAGTTACCTAATGATTATGTTGTTCAAGCTCATCATTTTGGAACCATTTATCTTTCTTTTAATTTTTGTCTTACTAATGTTTTGTTTATTCCTCAAATTGACTATCGTTGTATTTTTGTTTCTAAACTTAATTAGTTTTCAACTTCATTGTTTCTTAATCCTCATTGTCACTCATTGTTTCATTTAAGCCCTAGACTCTTGAAAGATGATTGGTATAGCTGAGGTTCATAATGGTCTTTATGTTCTTCAAGATGATGTAAGTAGGTTCTCACCTTCTTCAGTTTCTCCTATTACTTTACATTCTAAATTTGTATCTTTTTTTTGATTTGTGGCATCTTAGATTTGGACATGACTCCTCTATTGCTATTAGTATTCTAGGTCAGAAATCATTTTCAATCACTTGTAAACCTACCTTAAATAAAAATTGCAATGTTTGTCATTTTGCCAAACAAAGAAAATTGCCATTTCTTGTTAGTGTTTCTCATACTACTCTTCCTCTTGAACTTTTATATATTGATATCTGGAGTCCATTTAATAACGCTTCTGTTCATGGCCATCATTATTTTTTAACTATTGTCAATTATTACTCTCGCTTTACTTAGGTCATTTTGATGAAATTAAAATCTGACACTGGAACTCATTTGGAATGCCTTATTCTATTTCAAGAAAATCAATTTTCTTTTCCTGTAAAAATCATTTACTTGGACAATGGTCCTAAATTCCTCATGCATTCATTCTTTGATTCAAAAGGCATTTTTCATCAAATAACTTGTGCTAAAATACCTGAACAAAATCGTGTTGCTTGAGCTTTATTGTTTCAAAGTCATTTATCTTTAGCTTATTGGTCTTATGCTATTTTACATGTTCACATCATTAATCGTTGTCCCACCCCTATTTTGCAACAGCAAACACCTTATGAACTCCTTCACAACGTATTCCCTGATTTTTCTAATTTTTGTGTCCTTAGTTCTCTTTGTTTTGCTTTCACTTCTGTTTCTCATCATACTAAATTTGATCATTGAGCTAGGAAATGTATTTTTTTTAGTTTTCACCTTGGTGCCAAAACTTTTGTATGTCTTGATTTACATTTTCACGATATTTTTATTAGTGAGCATGTCATTTTCTATGAAGTTGAATTTCCTTTTTCTCCATCTTTCACTTCTTCTCCTTCTGCTAACTTTCCTTAGCCACAATCTACATCTCCCCTTGATTATTTTGATCCTTTTATCATTCAATCCTCCTCCTTTACTTCTGCTATTTCTATTATTCCAAATTCTTCAGCTCCTGTTTCTCCTTCCTCTTCAAATCGTTCTTTTGCTGGTGTCCCTTCTTCATTTTACCAAATATATTGACTCACTGGTTTGTTTAAAATAATATTTTTATTTATAAATTTTAATAAAATGATAATTTTTTGAAATATTTATTTCATTCGCATTTTAGTTTACGGCCAAAGCCTTCCCAATCCTTTTGAATTTCTATGGGTTAGTGATACCTTTAATCTATCCAAAAAAAAAAAAAAAGTCTTGGCATTAGGTGATGTGCACATAAATACTTTGTGGAGAAGCTCATTGAAATTTTCATTAGCAATAATCACCACACTAGTAGTGTTGATATGCATGTGAGGTGAGCTGTCTTTAATGTTGTCGGCAGTGATAAACAACTATATATGTAAGTATATAACTACTTTAAAACTAACTAATTAGGCATAAGCAGATGAATATGTATATATATATATACTCTTTTTAGCCTTTATTACCTGTATATATCTTTTAATAAAGATAAAAAGAACTTTTTTTAATAATTTTTTTCTAGTATTAATAAAGGTATAAAAGTAAAAATAAATATAAAAAATAATGAATTGTCTTATAAATAAAATTAAAATTAATTTCCTTTTTTCATCTTATAAATAAGATCAAAAGATTATCTTTCAACTTAATATGAAAAGGTTATGACACAAATCTCCAAACCTATGCGCTTGGTTGGTCTTAAAATAAAAGCAACTGGTTTACACACGTCTACGATTCAAGAGGGAAATTTTCTATTCAATAGAAAATTAGTACATACAGTATTTCACACCAATAAAAAAGAAAAAGAAAGAAAATACATATGGCTGTAAGATGTGGATTACGCACACAATATTCATGGCCACTTCTGCACCTTCTTGTTTAAAATGCCGCGACCATAAGTAGACGTAATTATTTCGACAAGGAGAGGGAATTGTAATAACACAAAAAGGACTACTTGAACACTAGTAAGCATAATAACAGGAAAAAAAGCTCCTAAACGGGATGAGTTATGCTCCAACATGATAATCATTGTTGCAGAAAATGCAATCAACATAGTTGCAATGGAGAAAAAAAGTGTAGAAAGGCCCATGATCAGCTTTTTAGGCAAGGAGTGAAGGAAGTCTTCTTCTGTATAGCGTGACGTAAGGATTCCTAAAAATGTGAGCATAGAAGTGATAGAAGCAAACAATGACAATGCATCTGAAATTAAGAAAATTTTGAACAGCTTTTCTTTCACGAAAATTGGGTACCCAGAAGATTGATCATATCCTCCTGGAACTGTATAAACTGCAGCAAACATGACGGTCGTGATGAGAGCACCAACAACTGAGCAAGAAGATGCAGTAACTTTCATCCATTTCTCCCCTTTATTCCTCAGTTCTTCGTGGCTTATTTTGAAATAGTCCAGAGGAGTCAATCCATTAACATTATGACGAAGCCTATTTCCAGGATCCATCACACTCTCTACAACCTATGTTAAAAACAATTCTCATCTATTGCATCTAATTAAAATCTTTGATTTATCATATCTTTTTACCAATATATAAAGTATAAACGTGTGTATATGTTTGTTATATCTAGGCCAACAAAATCATTAGAAAATCCTCAAAAGCATTTAATTATATTTCACTTCTAACCTTGAACCACTGCATTTCTCTTTGCAATCGCAAAGTAGCACCGGATATGTGATTGAGTCTTGAAGCAGGAGCTAACATGGCTGCCACGTGCAGCAAAGTATTATTGTCAGGGGAGAAAACGAGTGATGATACTAAATTCCTAAATCGAAACCCATAGAGGAGGTTGAAAATCTCAGCTTGACGATATAAAATACTAGAGAAGAAAATGTGACCAGCGAGATTAGTTCTGGGTTTGATTTCAATACTCGTAACAAAAACTCAGCTTGCCCATCCTGAGCTGCAACTCTCAGAGCTACTGCAATTTGGCTATTTTTCTTCTGATCCAGAAATTTTAGATTCTCACAAACGAAGTTCAAAATTTCAGCCGCTTGTTCATGTTGCAGCTTCATCTTATGGATTTCCTTCATTCCTGGGCAATTGTTTGTCGGCTAAATACAACTTAATGTTATAGTTTTATTATCTTAATCATGAGATCAAAACAATAAAAGAAACGGATATTCAAGCTTGGGGAACTTTTTCGCATACATACCTGACAAATTATAGATGTGGGAGATGAGCAAGTGCAGTAGATTTAACCCTGCTGAGATGGAATTTAGTTACAGTCTAATCATTTCAAAGGATTACACGCACAAGCACACAGAGGATCTGCGTGCATATGCTTGTTCTTTTTGTTATGTATAGGTCTAATAATTTAAAAAAAAAATGAGAATAAAATCTTCTCAAATTATATAAATAATAATTTAGTTTCTAGAAATATCATAATTCCACTGAAATATTTAAGAACTTCTGTGTCAATAAATTTTAAATTGAAAAGATCATTTTATCCTTATTGACAAGTTATGATTTCTTATTTAATTTTTATGATTCTTTGAATAAAAATTATTATTCTTTAAACAAAAATTATGATTGGGGCTTGTTATTTTGAGATAAAAATTACACTTGACAAGTTCTATTTTTTTGTTCAATTATTTCCATTCACATAATAAAAGTTATTATTCCTTGATATTTTAAAATTCGCATAACAAAAATTGAGCAAAAATTGTGATTGAGATTTATTATTTTTAATAAAGATAAAATAGTCTTTTTATTTTAAAATTTATCGATACCAAAACTTCTAAGGACTTCAATAGAATTATAGTATTTTAAGAGACTAGAGTGTCATTTATATAATTCGAGAGGATTTTATTGTCATTTTTTCAATAATTTTTTTAGGACAAAGCTAGCTAGGTTCGACTTAAATACCAACATTTAGCATCTCATACATAACTTGAGCTGGACTTTTCATTATGCGGATCATTAAGCTACCTTACACAAATTAAATTTCAAATTATACATTTTAAAAAACCAGATTTTTATGCATGATAAAAAAATAAAAAAGTTACATCTTTTAATCTACATTTTGTTCTATTTGTCATACTACTTGATTTCATCTTCTAATTAACGAGGGATAGAGAATATATATAGTACCTAGGGATAGAGAATATATATAGTACCTCGGGCCCCGTTACTCTCGCTTTCTCGTTTCATGTTTACACAAGACTGCTCAGTGGCAGTAGTTGATGGTGTTTTGGTATCTTCCACCCAAAATGTGATCAAAGAAATGGAGACATTGAAATAGAAAATGGCAGGAATGGAAGCTAATGAAGTTGCTGAAACGTTCCTTATTTAAAAGCATTCAAAACCCATTTGTAACCTGTGAAACCCCCATTTTAATTCTGCTGTTTTGTTTCTGTCTTCGTTTGGCCATGATTCTAGTATAAATAGGCCATGGATCCAGTGTAATAAGGAGCTAAGTTTGAAAATAAACAAGAGTGCATTTTTTCCATTCGATCTCTGTGCCATTTTAGTATCAGAGCAGGTCCAGAGAGCGAGAGAGTGAGTTACAATTGAAAAAATACGCCGGAGAAGAGAGAGATTCAGTGGAGGAGTCCCTGACGTCTTCGCGTTTTGCAATCCAATCATTTTCTTAAAAAACTAACATCACCATCGTGCTCAGGAGGTCCGAAAATGTGGAATAAGAGGTTCCCCATCACTGGAAAACCACACACTCGTTGTCACGCGCCACTGCCGGAAGTCCACACACCTCGTCGCCGGTCCACGTGCCGTCACGCGCCACCCAAAGGTTGAAGACGCTGACGTCATCAGCCACGTCATTGTTCTGACCGGTCAACGATAGGTCAACCCAATAGTCTCTGCCACGTGTCATTGTAGCCACGTCACTAAACCTAGTCAGCCTTATTTTCATAATTATATTTTTACCCCAAATCTTTTGGTAATTATATGTTGACCCCTTAAGTTTATGAAATTTCATATTGACCCCCAAAAGTTTTGAAATTCCTTGTTGACCCCTAAACTTTCTTAAAATTACATTTTTGCCCCTTAATTTTACCTAAATTCCATTTTTGACCCCCTATATTTTCCATAAAATATAGTTTGACCCTCCCATACTTCCAAAATCCCCATTTTTACCCTTAGACTGTCTAAAATTCTCATTTTGCCCATATACTTTCCAAAAATCCCATTTTGCCCCTATATCCTTTCAACGTTTTCATCTGCACCCTAATCTTTCCAATATCCCTAGCCTTGACACCTATCCAAAATGCCTCCAAGACACAAGCATGTGCACGAGGTTGAGATAGAAGAGATGAGACATAAGATACGAGAGTTGGAAGCTACTGTGGAATTGCAGCAAACTCTGTTAAATAACAACAGAGAAAACTTAGAGGGAGATTCGGGAAACAGTAGGTCGTCATCCACTGACAACCGTCACCATCCACAATAACAACAATTCTGCCCTAATGACATCAAGGTAGACATTCCTGAATTTGAGGGAAGACTTCAGCCAGACGAGTTTGTAGATTGGCTACAAATTGTTGAAAGAGTATTTGAATACAAGGAGATTCTAGATGCACAGAAAATTAAAATTGTTGCCCTTAAACTTAAGAAACATGCTTCTATTTGGTGGGAAAACCTCAGACGGAAGCGGGAATGTGAGGGAAAGCGCAAGATTGAGACTTGGGAGAAAATGAAATGCCAGCTCATCAGGAAATTTCTGCCAGATTATTACTACCAAGATAATTTTATCCAGTTGCAAAATCTTAAACAGAGATCTTTATCTGTAGAAGAATATACTAGAGAGTTTGAACAATTCATGATGAAGTGTGATATTCAGGAGAAGGAGGAGCAAATAATAGCTCGGTACCTTGTAGGCTTAAACACAGATATCAGTCGTCTAGTCCAGCTTCAGCAATATTAGACCTTAGATGATGTCATCTGTCTAGCCATGCGTGTTGAGAAACGGACGCCCAAGAGATCTACTTTCCAGCCTTCGTCCTCTAGGGGTTATTCAAAAGGCCATAAGGTGGAATTTCAGCAGACCAACTCCTCAAGCAAGCCGCAATCTACTACTATGTGCAAACCACTATCCAATGCTGCCAAGGAATCTAGCTCTAAAGCAATCAAATGCTTTAAATACTAAGGATTTGGCCACATTAATGCGAATTGTCCTACTCGAAGGGTTGTCACTGTTAGGGAAGGACCAGTGTATGAAGCACTTGTAGAAGACGAGGAGGACGCTGAGTTCTATGGCACTAATCCTGTATATGACGAGGAGGTCACACCTGCTAATCAGGGGAAAGTATTGGTGCTTAGATAAAGTTTGCATACAATAGTAGTCAAAGAAGAACCTTGGCTACGACGCAACATTTTTCACACTCGTTACACAACCTAAGGAAAGTTTGTATTGTCATCATTGACAGTGAAAGCTGTGAAAATGTAGTATCTAACTACATGGTGGAGAAATTGAAGTTGCCAACACAAGATCATCCACAACCTTACAAGCTTCATTGGCTCAACAAAAGGAATGAGGTAAAAGTTTCTAAACAATGCCTTGTGACCTTTTCTATTAGGAATCAATATTATGATGAAGTTTTATGTGATGTTATTCCCATGGATGCATGCCACCTTCTCTTGGGGAGGCCATTGCAATTTGACTGACATACTATTCTTTTACGAAAGATGGTGTCAGGTTCATACTAGCACCTTTACCACCCAACAAGATTAGCCAATCTTCAAGAGAATCTAGTGCCTCTAAGCCATTAGTATCTTTGATAACTAAGGAGGAACTCAAGGTGTTGAAATTTAAAGCCCAAATGATGAGCTTTATATGGGTGCTTGAGGTAAACGACGAGTCAACCAATCTATTAGGAGTCATTCTGCTATTGTCAGAATTTCTAGATGTAATATCTAATGAGATACCACCAGGGTTGCCTCCTATGCGAGATATACAGCACGCCATTAACTTCATTCCAGGAGCAGTCATTCCTAATAAGCCTGCTTACAGAATGAGTGCCCAGGAGCATGTCAAAGTCCAACGGCAAGTTGAAGAGTTGTTGAAGAAAGGGTTGGTTCGAGAAAGTGTTAGCCCTTGTGCTGTACCTATTCTTCTAGTACCTAAGAAGGATGGGAGTTAGAGAATGTGCATTGATTGTCGAGCCGTTAACAAGATCACTATTAAGTATCAATTTCTGATACCTCAGCTTGATGATATGCTAGATCAATTGCATGGTGCCACTACTTTCTCCAAAATTGACCTTCGAATGGGTACCATCAAATTAGAATTCGGCCAGGAGATAAGTGGAAGACCGCTTTCAAGACCAGAGATGGCTTATATGAGTGGAATGTGATGCCTTTTGGGTAAACAAATGCCCCTAGCATATTTATGCTCCTGATGAATTAGGTATTGAGACCCTTCATTAGTAAATTTGTTGTTGTGTACTTTGACGATATTCTTATTTATAGTAAGAATCAAGAGAAGCATTTAGATCACTTGCAGCAAGTTTTGCAAGCCTTGCGTGAACAAAAGCTTTATGCAAATCTCAAGAAGTGCACCTTCCTCACCAGCGAAGTTGTGTTCTTGGGTTACATCATTACCACAGAGGGTGTTCGTGTTGATCCAAGCAAAGTTGCAACCATTGACAGCTAGCCAATTCCAAATTCTATCTAGGAGATTCGAAGATTCCATGGACTAGCTTCTTTCTACAGGAGGTTCATCCATAATTTTAGCTCAATTACTGCACTACTTACAGATTGCACTAAAGGAGAGAAGTTTCAGTGGACAGAGCAAGCTCAGAAAAGCTTTAAGGAGCTTAAGAAGAAGTTGATTGAAGCTCCAGTCCTAGCTCTTCCTAACTTTGACCAAGTATTTGAAGTTAGCTGTGATGCTTCTAACACCAGCATTAGTGCTGTCTTAAGCCAGGAGGGCCATCCCATTGCCATTTTTAGTGAGAAGCTCAATAATACCAAGCTTAGATATTCTACCTATGACAAGGAATTATATGCCATTGTTCGAGCTCTCCAACATTGGAGTCATTATCTCCTGAATAAATAGTTCATACTTTTTTCTAAT